TTCTTGTTTCTTTTCTTTTTCCTCTAACAACTGTTGTAATTTCTCTTCTCGTTGTTCTCGTTCTTCTTGTTTCTTTTCTTTTTCCTCTAACAACTGTTGTAATTTCTCTTCCTGTTCTTCTTGTTTCTTTTGGTGTTCTTGTATTGCTGCCATTAAGTCTGCTAGGCTGTAGTTTGATTTGCCGCTTCTCGTTTCCTTTTTTTTTATCCCACTCTCTGACACCAATTTATGTCTCCGTTTGTTAATTAATTTTCCGTTACTTCGTTCCAACGAAACTTTAGCGACACAAGTCCTTTCTTAAATAAAACTGGTTTATTCTTTCTGAATATGACTTTACGATACACTTAATTTCAACAATCTCGCTAAAACAAACGCTATAACAACGAACGTTAACTTCCACAATACTCTCCGACTGCAGATCAATTACTCACTTCCTACACATTGTCCTGTCACGTTGTCACCATCTTATATATACCAGATTACCCCCAATCTAGTAATCTCAGGAAGGTTCGAGAAAGAAGTGGCATGATACTAGTTACATGACCTCGCTGACGCAACAATATATATATATATAAAACCTAAAAAAATTATTTCGTTTCATACCCTCCATGTGTGAAATTTTAAAAGGCTTAGCAACCGAGAACAAAGGTTATAACTGGAAGGGATAATTGTTTGCCTTACTTCTTTATTTAGTCTTCTATGTTTTAAAAAAATAAGTTTAAAAACATTTCTAAACAGTAATAATCTATATAGATATATAATGTATAATAATGGAAATGTGACTGTATTTTACAAAATACTAGTCTACTAAAACACATTCAAGATAGGTCACTCTGTAAAGGTGAAAGGTCAGTTTTATATTATTGGATACGGCCGCATGAGAGCACGTGTGCCACATCATTATAACTTTTGTATTGTTAGTCAGGCATAGCTGAAATATCAGTATAATAAAAATAATAAATATATATAAATGTATAATCTTTTAAGATTTCTGCACTGAGGGTTCCTTTATTTAATTTGTGGATTACCCTCTATTTGTGTGACATATTTTCTTTGGCAAAGTGTTTACATGGCTCAGAAGAGGTGCATTTTCCCATGGGTATGTCTAACATACTCTTTATTCACACACTCCATAGACTTCCTTTGGATGATTTATGAAGGGAGTTCATCAAGGTACTGTTATACCAGTCTCTCCACCAGGTCATTGTGGGATGACCAATGTCTTTTCCTTTTATGTTGCTCATTCTGGAAGTGAAGTTGAGCTAAGCTACATAGAGGGAGTCAGCTATGCTAGTTGTGGTGTTGCATTCCTATTGGTGGAGGGTTGTATCATGTTACTTGCTGGCCACCACATAACTGCCTCACATGAGGATAGGTTGCAGTATGAAGGCTAGTGGCGAGCAAAAGTTTGTGCATTTAAAGGGCAGTAAAAGTCGAGAAAAGCTATTATATGAGAAGAGATAAGAATTTATCAGAAATATATTTGCAGTGTAGGAAAATGTTAACATCTTGAGTTATTGCTTTGAAATATTGCACATTAGGTAAATGCCGTTGTACTTTGCTGCTGATACAAATTTTTTCGAAATTTCATCAGTTCATAACTGCAACTGGAAATATAAAACCATGAATTATTATTGTTACATAAAAAAATTACTGATATTGATTTTATTTGTGTTAGATTTTGTGAAGTGACAATGAACCATAGTTGTAACTGCTTACTGATTTAAATGTAAATATATCTGTGCGTTTCTTAAACAGAGTAATATTTGTTGTTAATGTGTATCCTAGGATGTATTGCTAGCAATAGATGTATTTACTAGTTAATAAATGAATTAAAACTGTTAAACCGAGTTATGGCTGTTAAAATTACCTGAAATTATTATAAAGAAAGATATTGAGTTTAATAATGGTCATGTTAAAAGTCCTTTGAACCACATATACATTCTAAAAGTTAATATAGTAATTTCAGATCCCTGTAGTACTAATATGTTTGACTGAAACGTGTATAATTGAGTTGTTATAAATGATTATAAAATCTTAATATGTTATTGAATGTGAGTAGTAACATAAGGAGTTTTTTATGTGAACTAGTGTTAAGCAATACCTCATTTAGCATGCATTGATATGACATGTACATTATATTTTGTGTTATCACAGTACTTTATAAATATTTTTAAAAAGAAACACAGTAATGTGCCACATTGGGAAATACAGTTTGTGTGTGAGAATAATAGAGCTGTAAAATTCTGTAATTGTGTTGCCTTCCATTAAATATTTAACACAGTTATTATATTCCTAAATTTTGAAAACCATTCATTTATAGTTTTGTATTTTGAAAACCACTACTTCCAAATAACATGATACATTTTTTCCTTTGTTTTAATTTTATTTTTAACAAAATTGCTTCTGATAACAATTGATGGTACTAAAAATGTTGCTAAAACAAGCAATTCGGTAGAGAAAAATTCAGTGTTATTCTTGTTGCTATACTTAATTAAAAAACTACTAATGTAGATGCACTCTTTTATAGGTTTTGTTAGAACAGAATTTTTTTAAGTATGTTAAAGTCAAATATCACAGTCAAAACAATGCACCTTGAATAAGATCATAAGAAATTTCTCTTTCAGGAGGAGATCATTCAGCCTATTATGCTTGTTTGGTCCTTAAAAATCTTACAAAGAAATTAAGTTGCACAAAAGAAAAACTCTGGTAGCAAAAATAAACTTTTATGTGTTTTTTATTGCTTTTATGTTGAACCTGCAGCTATCTTCATTAGTAGACTTTTGCTGTGTGAAATTCAGAAGCCCCTAAAAACCCTGTTGTACTTTCATGGCAGGTGAGACCTCACACTGATCCTGTTATATGTAGGGAGCTAATGAGCTTTAGTAATGAAGTCTGTATTTACTTGGATTTTCTGCCTCTCATGTACACAATTCAAAACATGGGAGTTTTATAGCTATCATATTTCATCCACATAAAATGTGTTTTACAAGAAAGTCTAAGAAATATAAAAACATCATTAACATTTTTGACATTTAGTAGTTTTAATGATACATGTCTGTATAATACAAATTAGCAGCAGCCAAAGTCTGCAATTGTACTGTAATGATGAAATAAACACACATAATTCCATTTTGATCAGTTTATAACATTTTCCTGTTTGCTTTGCATTTTCTTTTGTAAGTAATATGTACATACTTTCACTACTTCAACTTGTATATTACAAATTGACTTCATGATTTATGTTTTGAAGGGGAGTTGAGGGCCAGAAAATCTTGTTACTTTGATATTTTTCTTTTACCCTATTCTTTTGTATAGTAACTTTTTGGTATCATAATGTATTATCGTTATATCAATATACTGAAATACTTCTAGATGAGTACTAAATAACCTGGAACTTTTTCAGTTAATCTGTCAATGTATTAGTTTGTTTAATGCTTATTTCTTTCAGATCTTCTGCAGTGTACAAATGAACCCAATGTCTCCATTCCACAGATGGCAAATTTTCTTATTGAGAGAACCCAACATTCATCCTGGGTAGTAGTTTTCAAAGCTTTGGTCACTGTTCATCATCTCATGTGTTATGGAAATGAGGTTGGTATATATACATACAGTATGAAACATGTATATATATATAGATATCTATGTGTGTGTGACAAAAATAATAAATACAATGTGGCACCATCTTTTGAATGGCACAACAAACAAAAACCCATAAAAAATTTCACACTTTGGGTATTCATGATTCAGACAACTAGAAAAAAATAACCATTTCTTTATCACAGAACATAATTTCACATAAAAATACTCTCCTCATAACAAGAACACAATTTTCACTAGTACTGTACAGGAGGGTTTGATTATATCTTTATTAATTTAATTTATAAATATAGTACTAAAAATGGATTTCTTAAAAAAAATGTTTTTCTCAATGAAGGGTGCCATTTTTAATATATAAAAATGTTACAGTTTATATCAGCACAGTCCACATACCTTTTCCATGCAGTACTTCTCAGAAAAATAATTTTTATTTAAATGTTCACTTTTCTAAATTTTTGTTAAAACGAGGTATCAATACTACGATTAGTTATTGCTAGCATAAACAGCCACGCGTAGGCCTAATTCTGCAGATTCATTGTCCATACTTTTTATGAGTATTTGTTGAATAAAAGTGCTCAGGTTAATTACAGTGCCAAAAACTATTAATGAAAATATTTGAATAGGCAGAATAGACTTTTGTACACAAAAGTTTTATATTTTTGGTATTGTTTATCTAATCAAAAACAAGTTGAACAAAAAATTAAGTTAGGCTAACTAATGAATGAATATTTGCTGTAAAATTCTTATCAATGCTATAAGTGTAGCTGCCAGTTT